CTTTTTGTGCGTGTCAAAACAGTTTACTTTTCAACTCAAGTAATTAAAACTATGTACATTGATATTTATTCAGTTAACCTTTGTCGTTGGGAACAGGTACAGTTGGTGTCAGCTGTTCTCTAAATGATTCAATTGTTTGACATGCTACAATAACTTGTAGTAACATGTTCCATTGCATTATTGTTTGTTGAAAAAAAATGACCATTTGTAACTTTCTTTTGAGGTAAATATATGCCTAAATGTTTGGCTATGTGCTTTTCGTGTTCTAGTATCTATTCATTTTTATGACTAGCGATGGAATTGCAATGAGTCCATAGACACTTTATAGAACATAATCAGCCTGGATAGATGCGGCGCTCAGCAAGTGAGGGCCATTGAAGATTGTTTATCATTGATGTAACACTATCGGTGTTTTGGTAGTTGTAACATACAAAACGGGTGGCATGCCTCTGTACCATTTCTAGTTTGTTTTTGTATTCTGTTGTACTTGAATCCCATAAACTACAGCTGTATTAAAATTTATATATATATAATGGATTGGAATACACGGGATTTGATGTTGGTGCTTGATATTTTAGGTTTCAGGAAGACAAGAAATTTATTTGCACTTGATATGATATTGTCTTAGTGATTGTTCAATTTAAATTTGACTGTAAGGTTACAAAAATATATTTTACTGATGTTACTGGTTCTACAGTATGGTTATGCAAGATGAAATTGTGCTTAAAAGATTTTTTGATGTGTGATGGTTAGAACTGTGCATTTGCCATGATGAAAGAACATGAGCCAATCATTCTCTCATTTAGCAGCCGCATAAAGATCTTTTTGTAGTTTTGTACAATCTTGTTGACATGTTATTTCACGGTATATAAAATGCTATCGTCCACAAAGAGTCTTACCTTGCTGTGATTAAGGTATTCCGGAAAATATTTTCTGTATATTAAAAAGAGTGTAGGCCCTAAGAAAGAATCTATAACCACTGTTTATGTACGGATTGATAAAAAAAAAGCCTAAATCAATTTAAGAGTGTTGTCTTGTATGCCATCTTATTAAAGTTTGTAGAGTAGACATTTGTGAGGTACTTTCTTAAAGGCTTTGTCAAAATACACAATAATGAGGACTGTTTGAATATTTTTGTTATTGTTGTTATGTAGTTCTGGTATAAATTGAATGAGTTGTGATTCGCATGATCTCGATTTTCGGAAATCACGTTTGAGGTCATAAAAGATGTTATTGACCTTCAGATAGTTCATGATGTTACTTGTCACAATTGTGCTCCATCGATTTGCTACAAATACAAGTTAGCGAGATTGGCCAATAATATTCAGCTTTGTATCGTTTCGTTCTTTTTAAATGTTTGTGCGACGTTTGCATGTTCCCATTGATTTGATGTTTTGTCTGTTTTAATTGATTTAGTAAAAATCATGGTTAAGATTGGTTCCTGTTTTTAGTTCTTTTGATACTCATCCAATGATGTTATCTGGACCACTAGCTTTGATGGGATTTAGTGTGTGTAGAAACTGTTTGACACCTGGTGATGCGATATTTGTTTCTGGCATTTTTGGCTTTGAAATTTATCAGGAATATTGGTCGACGGTTCATCACTGACTGAAGTTGTTGGTTTAGAATGTCTTCTTTTTCAGTAGTGACTGTTACTAGCATGCATTCTTTGTTCAGAGGTGCAATTCCTGTACTTTCATTTCTAGTGCTTTTGATGTACTAAAATAGCTTTTTTGGTTTTGTGTTTTTCGACTGGTGTTGATCTGTTTCATTGAATTGATTGGTAAATTAAAAATAATTTGTTCAATGTAGTCCCAATAAGCTTTCATTTGCTCTGTTTGAACTGTTTGTTTTAGTTTCTTGTATATTGATGGGTTGATATTTCTATTTTATAACAATATTTTTTCTTGTTGAGTTTCCTCAGATTGTTGTTTATTCTTGAAAGTATGTGCTTGTATATGAGCATTTTGTGTTGTACATTTGACTATTGATTTTAGAAGATCAATTTTGAAGATGTTCCATAGTGCATCTGCATCACTAATGTCATACATTGTATTAATAGTGTTAAGTATTGTATTAAGGACATTGTTTATGTTAATCCAGTATGCCTCTTTATATTGAAGTATTTTTCTAGGTGTTTGTCTTACTCTATTTAACAAGGGGTCTATTTCTATATAAGATATATCGTGATCTGCTTAGCGGATTGATGGTAGTGTATTAAGTTTATTTATTCAAGTCGGATTATTAACAAATATTTTATCCATGTTCAGGACGAGTAAATACAATAGGTAGGTCCTACAACAAAGGCCGTCTGGGATGGAGGTCGGGGAAATTTGGACTGCCACGAGAAAATGAGGGTATATTGGATAGGAACAGAAGTTTAGTCTTGCAACAGGCCACCTACGGACCCCTCAAAGAGTTGTTGCAAGGGTTCTTAACTAACAAACATTATGCATATAATTATTGTATGAGATGAAGAAATACAAAATAAAGAATTATAAAAAAAAACTAGCAAACAGTGTGGCACTCTCTTTACACAAGCCATCAGATTCAACGTCCCTATTCTGAGCAGACGTGACTGCGACCTTGTATATCCCGCACAGCCAAACGGACGTCTCACTTTGGCGAGGGTTTTACTGCCGGTCGGAGGAAGACCAATGGTGACCATTTTTTATTCCCGAGTCACCCGAGGGGGGGGGGTCTACAATTCAGATCTAATGAACTCTTTGGTGATATCTATTGATACATTACCATGGCATTTTTGTTGTTTGTAGGAATATTATTTCTGTAAACGTTGTAAAGGTAATTTAGAAAAAAAGTCAGTTGATGGTATTGACTTGTCTATCCATGTTTCTGAACCTATAATTATACCTTGTTTACCAACGTTGATAATTTTTAATAGTTCAGGTTTTTAATTGCAGAGTGATTCAAAGTTTACTTTATTACTCTTAATGGTTTTCTCACTTGGGATGGTTGTTTCTTATTTTGTGAACCCTTGATGTTTTAGGTATTGATAGATTTATAGGTGATGATGTTGCATTTGGTACACATTCGCTATTTGAATCTGAATAGTTACTAAGTTAAGAATACTAATGTTCTGTATCTATTGAGTATATAAAAAATAAGATGTTGTATGATTGCCAATGACACAACTAGCCACTAAGTTCAAATGAGTTAAATCCATACCGTATAGTTGGCTTTAAAAGGCCCCAATTATGTTGAGTCAAAGAAGGATGTTGAAAAATTTGGCATACCGCATCGTATGCACTCCCAAGAAATATTACTTGCATCCATAAACTTGTATATAGTTCAGTGTATACCTTGACAGTTAATATGGAACCAGGTTTCACAGCTTTCAAAACATATAGCTTTATGTTTCCATGTAACTGCTTTGATACAAGTACCACATTATACGGTATATGGTTCGCTACTGACCCCTACGGTTTTGCAACAGTTGACTTATAAATATATGGAGATGATGTATGATAGCCAAGGATCCAATTATCCAAAGGTGGATTGTAATATTCTGGAGGTTTTATGGTATTCAGATGATGGAAAAGGATTTAAATCCTTTATTTTAAACAATGAGTCTATAGTGTTTATAAAAAAAGAATTAACTTGAAGAGGAATTCAAAAAGGGAGAGTCCTGACAAAATCAAACGCCAGACTAAAAGTTAGTTAATTATTTATATGAGTGACACGTGTAAATATGTACAACATTATAAATTATAAAGATATGATATGCTATATTCCTATTGGAGGACTGCCTCCGTAGAAGCAACATACGACTTACATAAGTTTAACTAAACGTAAGTATTAGACTGATCTAACAAACTTAATATGCCTTTTGTTATGGATGATGAACATGTCTCAGAGCTTCATTATCCCCGGTTTACCATAAAAATCCTTAAAACAATAATTCAAAAGTAAAACATGTTCGAACGCCCATTACGAATGTATTAACCTCTGTCATATAGGTTCGGTACCTATAGAAATTGTAAATTATGTCACTTCTTTTGACGCCTGTAATATTTACAAATATGTATATTTTACATAGAGATTAATACATGGCCTTTTCCATATCGGCCCGGGTATCATCCCGAGACCCCCATATCAGCCCGAGACGTAGTCGAGGTGCTGATATGGGTCGAGGGATGATACCCGGGCCGATATGGAAAAGGCCATGTATTAATCTCTTTATCATATACTTCCGACAATTGTTTTATGTAAGGTAAACACACAAATGAAATAACTAAAACTGTCAAAAACTTTTTAAAGAAGTTAAATCATGAATCCAACAAATACACTATAATTGTCCAACAATAGCATCACTACCTCTATATATATTATGGTACCATTTCCTATAGAGGCATTTTGAAACATTAAAAATTTGGAAGCTGGAAGCATGGAGGAAGTATTTACAGTTTTATGATCATTATTACTACATGTTGTACTATATGAGATGATTCATAATTGTCCATGGCATTTGTTAGCAAGTACTAATTGTAAACTAGCATCATTTTAAAAATCTATGTCATTGGATTTAGCCATGTTAACATCTGTTTTTCAATAACAGCTGGTTCTGTACAAACAGATTTACCACTGGATCCAATAAACCTTATCGCTATTTGTCCGCCATTACTGGACATCACAAAAGTTCCCGTAAATTTTGACGTCATAATAAAAAATATCTGACGCCACAATGGAAAAGTAAACATACGATACCGGAAATACCGGAAGTAACTTGCACGAGAGGCACTGTTGTGGGTTTTTTGCACGAGACGCCCCTGATATGGGTTATCAGCCCGGGTGGGAAATTATGGCTTGTGTACTTCCGTTCATTACACATATGCAAAAGCTATCATATTAGTTCTAAGTATATGATAAGGGTCTATTAAGTATTTAAAGAACTTAAGATTGATCAATAATTCATACTTAATGTTACTTATAAAAATTATGGAGTGCAGTTACTAATCGTAATTGTTTTGATTTCGATCAGGTTATTGCATTTGAAGCCTACAAAGACGGAAACCTCGAGCAGAGGCACTACAAACCTGTCAAGTATGTACTGTTGCATTAGACTTTTGAAACACTCTATAAACTTTACGCATGTCGGTATACAATGCCATTATTAACAGAAAATTGTTTCAAATATTAAAATCGAGTCTGTTCTTTGTAAATAAGAGTGTACTGTATTAAATAATTAATAATTTACCGGGAGGTTTGAGTGATTCTTTCTTTATTCAGAAGACCGACCACGTAATAATTGCTGAAAAGGTAATTTAGGTGTATTTCCTGTTAAGTAATTTTTAACAATTCGGGCGTATTAAATATTTGAATAATTGGTGTAGCTTGCCGTTCACATAATCTATCAATAATCTGAACACCCCCCTCCCCCTTTTTTTAACAGTCGTCATTGTAAATAACAAATACAAAATGCGTTCATTGTCGGAATAAGTTACTTTATTTGTACAAGCTTTAATGTAAATGCGAGAAAAATGCGATATTCGCCGAGCTTTCTACTTTTTCGTAACGAGTACAAATACATGTGTTATTTTGCTACAATGTACAAACTATGTTTTAGCCGACAATTTATAATTTACGCTTAAAAACATGTACCTTTATTTTACCGACGTTACTTTTTTAACAAAATCGACAATATTTTAACGGGGACCGCAAAATAAACTGCAAAGTAAGAAATGATTTAAATGTATCCGTTCATTTCCAATAGAAGCAGGATACAGGATACCTATTAGTATACTATTTTGTATCTATATAGTAAAATGGTCGACTACAGGACACAAGTCCTTCTTCCAGCAGCCGAAAAAAAACCAAATTTTCTTCAGCCGACAGAGCACTGTTGAATCTGAAATTAATTCATGGACATTTGGTTTAAAAGTTGTTAATCAAATATTCTTTATTTATCTTCTGGTAAATTCATTTTTGGTTTGTATAAACGATTGCTAACGTCATAATCCAACTACGTTTCTTCCGTCTATACTTTCGCGGACCATCGCACTTTAGCGTATGGAGGCATCGCACTTTAGCGCAGACCATCGCACTTTAGCGTGACCATCGTACTTTAGCGTCCCAATCGCACTTTAGAGTCCTACATAAAGTAAAGAGATTTACACTTAGGCTTTTATGAAAAAACTGAAGAAGAAAGTAGCTAATCCTATTGCATCTGAAAACACAAGAGAGGACTCTCAAACTCAGATCCAAACAGATTGGTAATAATACATAATTGTAATATAAAACTATTTTTAGTCCTCTCGCCTGAAATCGATCATTACCTGAAATCGGTCACCATTTGTAATCACATTTTCACTGGATGTTCGTTGTCGATGATATCATTTCTTCCAGTTTCCAAGTACAGTAATAATTAGTAAAGGATTTTAGCTGACAAGTTTTAATACTTATTTTGAGTGTAACTTTGCGATTGTTGTTAATAACCTATTTCACTAATCTTTCGACAGGCTGTCAAGAGTCAAAATATTTTACTGTCGAAACACTGGTGATGGAATAGCTTTTCATAGTACGCTTTTCTTTGCACTTCATCATTGAGTTTTGTAATATTGAAAGCAAGGGAACTGTTTTTTTATGTTTTCAAAGCACGTACATTTCTGAAATAAATTTTCACTTTTGGTTAGAAAATATACGAAATAAACTAGATCCTTAACTCAATTGGTAAAATGTGTGAAGCGACTCCTGACTAACTGCAGTGTGTATGCTATTTAATGTTCTGTTCAAAAGCAATACCAAACAATACATGCTAATTGAGGTAAAAGGAAATTTAAAAAGGAAGAAACTTAAACAAAATCTGGCTGATTTTAGGATACGTGATTTTAGTTTTATTTTAAACAATGTTAATTTTAAAAGTTTTTTTTATGTGCAGTAAAATCTATATAAAGCATACCAATGATATTTATAATTTTCTTATTGTCAACTTTCGCTTTTCATGAAGTGTAAACCGACAGCACCTGTTTATGGTTTACAACATATTGATCTATATGATGAAGTGATCATGATGTGGTTTACAGTTCTGAAATGTATGTCTCAAAGAAAACCACATGTATGTTCCACTTGAGTAAGACACAATTCTATTCTCCTCTCTTCGTTTTTATTTTCTCCAAATTTGACTAAACACAGGAATATATTATTCCAAGGCCCAAAAAGACGGATGCGATAAGTGAAACAGGAAATGTTTATGCTTGTTTTAGATGGGATTTTGGGGACTTTTGTTTTACTGGTTGTCTTTTTCTTTTGGCAATGTAGTTCTCATTCTACGATCATGGTTTTCATTGCACTCTTACTATCATTACACAGATTTATGCTTTACAATTTAAAGAAAGAAACAAATATGACAGACAGCAACCGACTAAAACCACAAAAGCACTGGCTCCTGATTTGGGACAGGCACTTCCAGAATGTAGAGGGATTAAACATGAATTTGATTGTTCAAGCCACGCCATAATATAAGATAGGTGTGTAACAGAACAATATAGAAACACATTCGGTTGGAAAGATTGTGATTCATTAGATTGATACGAACCTCAAACAACTGACAAGATGACGCAAAGTACTGATATAGAGTATAGCAAGACTTCAAAACCTCTTCTTTGTATGTTTGGAATAAATCAATCAAGGTTTTAAGTACGAGTAATTTGTGGTAATTAAATCCCTGACTTCATAATTTACCAGTTACACATTGTTTACGTCCATCGAAATCTAAACGTCACTACAGACATGGGCAAGGCGAATGTGTTGGGAAATATACACATCGTACGAGGTGTTCAAAGGAAAATCACCGTCCAAAAAGAGAAATTAACAATAAGGAACGAAAAATCGTTTGTCCAAATATTCAAATCTTGAAAGGGACGATTGTAGCTGTTGATTTTAAATCTATTTAAAGTCAGTTCAAGTTGGTAAACTTTCTATCAAAGCAAAACTAACATCAAAGTACGGTTATTTAAAAAAAAAAACAATTAAAGTAAAAACACTGTACTGTCGAAAAAATTGTCTTAAAGTTTTTCATACCCCTCCCTTTTCCATCAAAAATATTTTCCATGGAACTGTAACGGTATACATACTGAATATACCAACTATTCCACTTTATATGATATCACGCCTTTATAATCATATTACCTTAGCTTCGTTTTTAGTGACACCAGCTGTGTACATGTGCACTTGTCCCTGAATTAATTGCGATCTAGCATTTGTCTTTATATCCTACATGATTCGGAGGTTAGTTTACCTGTCAGTGTGACCCTTTCGCCATTATCTCTGTTCTCCATTGTCATATGTATTTTTTGTATGTTTGCAATATCATTTTTCAATTTTAACATTGCTAATGAGTCGAATCCTTTTACTAAAACTATAAAGGAATTCATTTTTCAAAATTCCTCTTTCCATATTTCCATATTTGTTAACCAATATGTTATTGGCAGTTGTGCAACTTAGGTATTCAACTAGTTTAAATGAACAAAAAAATTGTTCTTATGTAAATATATTTATGAAAAAAACTCATACCGAAAACAAAGGGAAATTACATAGCTTACGTACTTGTTACATTGAAGGTACAATGCAAACAATACGAATGATGGAAAGGAGAAACAGTCACAACACTTTACAGAAGTTCCTGCATGAAAAAGGGATATTAAACAATATTGACAATCCGATTATAATTGATATCAAATTTATGTGATTTTGGAAAGCAGAAATAATGATATTCGGTTGAAAACGTAAGATATGATCAATTTGCGCACAATACGTGTACAGTTTACAATACAAAAAATGGATAAATTCTACAAATGCAATTATAAACAAGAGACAAAATTTGTATTTCCTTTTTTTCAGTAAAAGGAAATACGATGAAATCCTAAAGAAAAGGTTGAAAAAGAAAGGAACTAACACTGCTGAAGTGTCTAACATTCGGGAAGCCTCTCAAACTCAAATACAGATAGATAGGTGATAATATTTAATATCTTAAGTTAATTTATTTAATCTAATAAAAACAAGTTCTATATATGCAGTGGATATGAAGCAGTACGGGCCGGCTGAAACCTATAAACTTTACCAAATTGAAAATGGTTTCAATTGTCCTATAGTCAACTTTCGCTTTTTATGTAGCAATATTTCCGCAGCACCTGTATATTGTTTACAAGCTATTGAATCAAGGCCTTATTTGGCTAAAATTGAAGTAGTTGAGCGGTCTATTTGGGTCGAAAACATGTTCCAAAAATAACCACAGATATGGTCCATTAGCGGTAGTCACAAATGTGTCATTCTTTCCTAGTTGCACAATGTATATAATCGCTGAATGTAACTAATTAAGAGAGTTGGAACATATATCGGGCAGCACGACTGATGATCATTTTAAGTTTATGATGGGGATCATGTTACAAATTGTTTTGCTTTTGTGTAGTGTTTTGTAATCTAACGTTTGTTGTTTGTCTTTCTCTGTTTTTTCGATCAGGGTTTTGATTGTCCCCTTAGAATCTCCCTCTTCTTGTCAGATATTAATGGAACGAACTCAAGAAGTCATTTACAAATATAACGAACTAAATCAATTTTCCGCACTCAGAAATAAATAAACTCACCATAGATACCAGGATGCTTGGCGCGCGTTTCGTCTTCAAAAGACTCATCAGTGACACTCGAATAAAAAAAAGTTAAATGGAACAAATAAAGAACGAAGTTGAAGAGCATTGCTGACTCAAAGTTGATAACGGAAAAAGATCATCAATGATAAATCTCAAAACTCCGAGTGAGGATGTCAGATATAGGAGGTAAAAACGTGAGATCTAGAAATTTAAAGGAAAAAAGTGGGAAGTGGTAAAAAATACAAAAAGCAGGATTTAGCAAATGAGCACCCCAGTGTCATTCTCTTCATATTAAGTAAATATAAGAAACAAATAAATTGTATTTCTTGTGAAATACTCAGCTCTCTGTCTTTCCTATTTGATAAGTGTTTATATTCTACCATGAATAACGTAAGGGGTGAATTAAGAAATGATTTTGAAGGACTAGTAAGTAGTACGTTTTGGTGGAGTTACCCAGTTATCAGTTTTACTTTTTTGTAGATTGTCATTTTTTTTCGATTTCTTGTTTTCAATTACTATCCCGTTTTATATTATAACACTCCTATAAATTATCGCAAAGCCTAAGCTATATTTTTCCTTGAGGTTGACTGTGAATATGTGCACTTGTATTTGTGGTGATTTTATTTTATCCTGCACGATTTATTATGTTAACTTTCAGAGAGACCTTCTTTCAATGCATTTGTAAACCTTTGAGATTTGCGGTATACATCAGAGAGGCATCAACCCATTGACTAAAAATAACTTATATGCATAGGGCAAGACAGAGTCTTCAACAATATACATATATCTTTGTAAACAAGTCTAATTGAAAACAACATTCAAACCTATGATTGCGTTGGATAAAAACCGCAATTTCTATACGTGGGCATGCATAGCAAATTTCTTGGTAGAGGGGTCTAAATACAGCACAAACAACATTTTACAAAAGACCTAAAAAGTAAAAAAGGATTTTTTAACAAAACGCATTTGACTAGCAGGTCGAACAACGGATGTTATTAAACCCTGCTGACTGCTATTGACATTTCAACAATACAGTTGTGAATAAATTCTCACACTAAAATATAAAGGCAGTTATCATTTAAAATTTCACTTTCTATATTTTTTTACCCGTTCCATTGTTCTTTGTAGTCATGCAGCTGACGTATTCAACTAGTTGGAATGACACGAACAAACAGTTTGTTCTTTTAACAGTAATATGGTTTTTAAATAAACACATACCGAAAACAAAGGGAAATTACATAGCTTACGTATTTGTTATTTATATAGGTTCAGTACAAACAATACGAATGAAAAAAAGGAGAAGCAGTCACATAATTTAACAGACGTTCCTGATATAAAAACACTCTTGCAAAGTTGTTTGCATGAAAAAAGGTATATTAAACAATATTTCCATCAAATAATAATTTAAACCAAATTTATGTGATAAAAGAAAGCAATATTATTAATATTCAGTCGAAAACGTAAGATATTATCTATTTGCTCTCAAGACGTTTTTCTGGAGTAGACTCCATCATGCCTTCCGAATTCAAACATCTGAAAAACCAAAAAATAACATATCAGAGCATTGAAATACATAAAAGGAATTAGCACCAAAAACCTTCCAAGGTCAACTTTATATGAAAGAGTTGGAAACAGGACCATAGATGTTATGGTTTCTACCGATTTTCCATGAACAAATGTTTCAGTATATTTTGAGTCAATAGCACACCTCTATTAGCGTGATACTCACCGAAAAATCGTGATTGGCGTATCGTTTTAAACTAGATTCATGCACTCCAACGTTTGTGGCTGCGCTAATGTTACTTCTAAAAAGTATAAGTAGGTAAATATACCATCAAAGTTACCAGGCATATTGCATTCTTAAATTAAACAATACGAAATCTAAAAAAAAAAACTTTTTGTTTGCCAAAGCTATATAAAAAAGAAGATGTGGTATGATTGCCAATGAGACAACTCTCCACAAGAGACCAAATGACACAGAAATTAACAACTATAGGTCACCGTACGGCCTTCAACAATGAGCAAAGCCCATACCACACAGTCAGCTATAAATGGCCCCGAAATGACAATGTAAAACAATTCAAACGAGAAAACTAACGGCCTAATTTATGTACAAAAAATGAACGAAAAACAAATATGTAACACATAAACAAACGACAACCACTGAATTACAGGCTCCTGACTTGGGACAGGCACATACATACAGAATGTGGTGGGGTTAAACATGTTAGCGGAATCCAAACCCTCCCCCTAACCTGGGACAGTGGTGTAACAGTACAACATAAGAACGAACTATAAAAATCAGTTGAAAGAGGCTTAACTCATCAGATGGATAAAAATACAAATACTACACATATAAGTGGACGTGGCCGGGTACTTGTACATCCAAACAACAAAAAGACACTAAGTACAGATCTGAGAGTACTAGCATTTACTGACAGCTAGTTCAAAGCCACTAACAACTAATAAAAAAAAATCATGCATCTAAGACTAAATTATCAATCCGTACACATCCAACATCCAATGGATTTAGTGTAAAGACGTCATAAACAGTCAGAGAAAAACATTACCTTGTGCAATGCCAAGATACAGGTATCGACAGATTGTAGATCAATGAATGTGTGTATGTATATAACAAAAATATTTAGTTTGCTTTTAATATACTGATAACAAAATCAATATTAGTACCAATAAAAACAATATTTAATGATCTAATTACAGTGTTGAATTGGTAACCTTTTAGAATAAGTTTATTTAAAGGATCGATAAGTTTACCAGCATCGTTTCTAAATTTCCGGGCACGGTAAACAATATTGCCTTAAAAATGAGTTGAGTTGAGTTATCATTTTTTTTCAAATTCTAGAAAAGATATGTATATCTTTTTCACGTTCTAGTCTCCGTTGTTTTCTAAATTTTACGTTAATTTGTCATGTGAGTCCGACAAAGTGTCATACTAAATCACAAAGATGCTGACAAAGATTGGCATGTAATAGAATGTCCGTTATAATTGTATTTGTATTTTCTAATCAGGTCATCACTGTTCAACAGTTATTGTGAACCTTGCTTCCGAGGAAACAAAGAATCAGTCTCTTTTAGCTGGTGCTCTGATTGTGAGGAAACCCTATGTTCTGCTTGTGATGAAGCACACAAGATAAGCAAAGTATCACTGTCACACACTGCAGTTGCTGTAGATAAGATATCATCAGCTACTCCTATTACTGTATCTTCTTATGTCCTGTGCGAAACCCATCCAGAAATCTCTGTGGAATTTTATTGTTCTGATCACAGTCTTCTGTGTTGTTGGGCGTGTATTCAAAGAGTTCATCGCACTTGTAAAATTGTCTTAATTCAAGATGTATCCAAAAAGGCAAAGCAATCTGCATTGTTTGAAAAACTTTCTATTAATGTAAAGGAGTTATTTCACGACACGGAACAACTGAAAGAGCGTCATACCAAAAATTTGGATGAAATTAATCAACAGGAACTGGCGATTACGAGTAAATTAAAACAGATTAAAGTCGTATTTGATAATCATTTTGAAAAACTTGAATCACAATTAGAAAACGAAATGAAACAATTAAAACAGAAAGCTGTTTCTAAAGTTAACCAGAACGGGGATACTATACATAAACTATCTACCGGTTTGAAAAAGCATATAGGTGATTTTAAATTTGTCTCCGACCATGGTTCGAACAGACAGGCATTTATGCTGGCAAATATTCTTAAACCGGAGATTGAGAAGAGAGAATCTGAGTTGAATGAACTGATTGCTTTAGAACGGAAAATAGGTGTCAAATTTGAAACAAACGTAGATGCCCTCTATCTAGACAATAAAATTAAAAGCCTTGGAACCATTGCAATTACGGAGACTCCAATAGAATTCAAAAGCATTCGACATTCGATAGCGCAGAGTATGAAATCCCAAGAGGGCACAAAAGAATAAAACAGAGACCATAACTGCTTATAAAGAAAACAAAAATTAGCCGTCAGAATTATATATACGATGTCAGTTAGGGGACGACCATTTGTTTTTCTTGTGGGATGGGGGGAGGGGGGGGGGACAAGGAGGATTTTGAAAATGAATCACTTGGTCTGAAATTTTCGCACGGAGAAGCCGTTGAATTTTTTTTTTTCATCGTAGCAACAGATAAAGATGAATTACCAATCCGGAAAATCATCCTGTACCCCTCCCCCTAATATTAAATCTTCACTTACAAATAGAAAGGAAGTCACTTCTGGAGGACTATATTAGTACTTGGATTTATTTTGAAATGAATACCTTGATATTTATAATAATCAGGAATATGTTTTACAATCGCACTTGGATTTTTTTTTAATGTGAGACTGAAGCTTATAAAAAATGAATAAAGAATATAACACCTGTATAGTGTTATCAAAAGATGCTTTTATAAAATCATGTTGCCACATACCTATGATATAAAAATAAGAAGATTTCACAATTGCCAATAAAAACATCTGGAAAAGCAAATAAATGACAAAATTAAGTCTTTTTAAGAAATTGAAATCAAAGTCCAATTTGTAGATAAAAAAAAAACATAATCAGGCTTGTTAAACGCTTCTGTTAAAGGAATAAAAGGTAGTGCAAAACATTGAGACGCAGTTTTGATACCAAGTTGTATTGTTCTATTTTATAGTTTTTCGCCTTGAAAAGATGACTTATCATTGTTATTTATAACTGTATAATGATACATGAAAAATTTATGAACTTTTTGCATGCATTTCTGTGAAATGTGACCTGTACTAGTCAACAGGAAGTTACTTTGGGCGACTGGAAGTAACCATGTTCTACCCCTTAGATAGCCCCCATAGTTAGGTGTGGACTTTTGCATTCTGGCCCTGGTGAATTTTTCAAAGATGAAAATATTAAAGTTATTGTGCTATATAATACATTTTATGATAGCTGGAGAGTAAAATATCCTTCAAAGTGGGTTTATATGAACAGCCCGATTATCTTATGTATGTGTTATGGACTGTTTTCTTTTTGACAGTCCGTATTTTTATATCATACCAGACAAAGGTGTACGAACTTTTTTTTAACTCAAAAATACTTTTTAACATAAAATAATCACTTTTATTGCACCATTACGGTTAACAATTTACTTAATCCACAGATTCAATAAAGTATCTCAATATATAAGTTATTGAATATCTAGGTAAACTATTCGATAAGGTAGATACAGTTAGATACATTCATACATTTAAACAGTTTTACAGAGTCAAAAGTTTACCGAACACGGTACGTTTTTTCGCCTTTGTTGTATATATTATTAATGTTATTTTATTAACCTTTTGATGCAATTAATTTAGAAAAGGAATCACTGAAAGGAATTGAATTCTACTTTGAATCTAATTTTGAGGAACATGTGACATTTTCGTGCTCCGTCTTATCTCATCTGGCCAAAAGCGCCATGAGAGTCTTTCTCATAACTTGGCGTCCGTTGTCTGTCGTTCGTAAACTTTTACAAAAATCTTCTCGTCTGAAACTATTAGGCCAATTGGAACCAAACTACAATCATAATTGTGGTATCTAGTTTACAAAATGTGTACGATGATCTCGCTTGTCAACCAATACGGCCTTTATGGATAAAAGTTGAACATGGGGTGAAATGCCAGTTTTGTCTAAACTGCAATATATAGAGAAAGTATGACAAGACAGAAATGATAGCAATACTACTAGTTTCACAGAGTGCTAGTGACCTAATACGATATATACGGGGTCAGCAAATTCCATATGGGATGAGAGTGAAGTGATTAAGTCTTCAATTTAAGAACATACTTCCATTGGTCTATACAAAAACAAATGCCAACAATAACAATTTGTTAACTTTTATTGTGTTTTCTGCATTTATTTTCAATCGTTTTCAATCAATTTCTTCATCTGTTGTCTAGGTTTAAGATTTTCCTTCAACGCCCTATTGTTTTATAAAAGGATGTAACACTGCTAATAACCGGGTTTTAAAATAAAAAGCGCTCACTGACCAAATATTAAATATACACGGTCTCCACGCGTTCGCTTTTAACCAATTATATTTCTAGAAGGATATAGGAAGTAAGAGAATGCGATCTACACACTCTCTATTTACACCAAAACTGTCAGACTAGGAGTTATTGTCTTTAAATGACTATTTTCTTAAATTTTAATTCTTTTAAAAATTTGGCCCATTATCTTGAAGACTATAAAAGATAGAAACTTTGCAAACATGATCAGCAAGACAAGATCTACAAATAAGTCTAAGGTTAACTTTGCATGAGGGGGTTGAAACCTTGGTTACTTAATAATTTAAAAATTTATAAACGGGCAGTTTAAATGAAAGGCTTGTTTTAATTCATGACAGTACCGAATTAGATATATAAATAAAAGTGCTAGAATTTTACAAGAATAGAAAGTTGTAAATACCATCAACAACGAAAAATAAAATTTGGACACAAAATCGAAATTGACATTAAAAAAACAAAACAACTGATCTACATTATAAGTTAGGGCCTAGTTTCAAGAAGAATAAAACAGTTTGATCTTTGTTGTACATATATATTCAATTATATTCACTTAATCGTATATGCATGCTCTACATAAAGGCGATCTGGAATTTCAAGATATTTTGATAAATTACATGAGTGGCATTGATAATATGCTGCACATCACTCTTGTTGCCTGAAGTTTGAATTGAATTAAGAATGACATAAAACTGAAAAGATTAAGTAACAGAAGAATCATTTTTATAGAGTTTTTTTTCTGCATCAATATAATTGCAAACACAAAAATAATTATAGAGAAAGATTGGCCCAGTTTATGTTCCTTAAATGAACTTATCTTACCAATGTTGTAATTAAATATTTGAATATAGTTTACATTGGCACAAATATCAATGTTGTCATCAGCAAATTAAAACATAACTAAATTTGTATTCTTTTCAAACGTTGTTTTGGGATGTATAAATACACATCCACGTTCATTTTCTATATAGAGATTACTCTATCTATATATTAAATTATACATATTTATTAACAGGTTAACTCCTAACTATTCTTCTGTCTGTCGATATTTTTATTTTGGCATTGCACAAGTCATGTCTTCTTTGACTGTCCATGACGTTAAAACACTAAATCCCTGGGATGTGTTTTAGTTAATTTTAGTCTCTGATGCATGATTTTTTATTATTCATTGTTTTTGGCTTTTAACTAGCTTTCAGTAACTGCGAGTACTCTCAAAATCGTACTTTCGTGCTAATCTGACCTGTTGATACAATTTGTAATGTATTTTTGTTATTTAATGTTTACTTATTCAGTGTTTTATCTAGTCTCACTATTTTAATATGTACCACCTTTGATAAGTGTTTAGTATGACGATAAATTTTCACTTTTGTTCTCGTACTAGGAACAACAAAATTATTTATTTTGTAAAAATTATTTCCGTACTCCATGTATACCTTACAACAAAACTATTTTTATTTACCTGTGTACGTTGGTTTTTTTTGGCGGCATTTTATCCAAGGTAATGGTTGTCTTTTTGATATTGTTTTACATCTAACCCCCTTGTTTTATTAATTTTGTATTTACATTGTGTGTCATAGATCAAATTTATTCGTTCAGTGTATGTTCACTTGTTTTTGTTAATATGTATTTTGATTGAGTTCAGCCATTACAATTGATATTTTATAGTGTGTCTTTCTATGTCGTGATGTTACACCATTGTTTCGGATAGGGTGAAGGTTGGCGCCTATTCAAACGTGTAAACCCGCTGCATTTGTTTGCAACTGTCAGGAACCTGATGTTCAGTGGTTGTCGTTTGTTGAAGTGGTTCATAAGTGTTTCTCGTTTCTCGTTTTTTATATAGGTTTGACCGTTGGTTTTCCTTTTTGAATGGTTTTACACTAGTCATTTTGGGGCCCTTTATAGCTTGCTGTTCGTTGTGAGCCAAGGCTCCGTGTTGAAGGCCGTACTCTGACCTACAATGGTTTACTTTAACAAATTGTGACTTGGATGGAGAGTTGTCTCATTGGCACTCATACCACATCTTATTATATCTAATTAAGAAAAAACGTATGTATATATAACATTGTTGTCTAAATTTGAGACGAATTATATATATATTATAGTGTTAGCCCTGTATAACCCCCGTGTTATCCAATGGATAATGTCTGTCATAGAGTTGTCACTTGTTTAGACGTGTATAATAAAATTTTTAAAAAAAATTGATGTGGCGGCATGGTAATTAACATTCACATCCTTTACGACAGTCAAAATAGTTGATCTGAAAGGTACACCATCTACTTGCCACTATACATCATGTACAGTGTTACAACCCTAGATAAAGCCGACGAGGAAAGGCATTACATCGACCACCGAAAGCTATATCTTTATGGAGCCTAGGTGGTCTAGGGCGTTAGACACGGTGCAGGCGGTGTTGCCACGATGTCACAGAAGCAAGGGTTCGAATCCCGCTGAGGGAAGAACAAAAATATGCTAACGCAAGTTTGAAGATCTAACATTGTTGGGTTAAATTTGAGACGAATTATATATATATATATATATAAATGAATAATCTGTTAATAACATCTCTATAAGAAAATCCATACCATACTAAGGAAAAATGACAAAGTGACAAAAAAAAAGCACAGGATGCTCGAAGCTTGTACGTAGTTAAAAGACCTTCAACATTAAACACGGACCTGCACCCACAACTGCCAAGACGACACAGATATTTTACAAGAAATAATCAGGACACATTGAAACCTCGAAAAGATAAGGCGTCCTGTCTGATGAAAAAAGATGATCTATGCACAATTTCAAAACGATTTCATATCAAACAATGAACACCTTAAACGGTAAAATTGCATGGACTTATAGTTGTTATCATGATTCGTAAAACTGTTTTGAATATATCATTAGTGAACAATCGAAAGCAAATTTAAACATTGTTGTATTAAGCAAAACTTCCGATAACTTCCAAGCATGTAACCGCATTGCAATAATCTTTTATCTTGTAAATGCACGAAGAAGATATATATAAACAGGGGTTATTATAAGTATGAAAGCATTTGTGTAATCCAATTTTTGACCAGATTAGTTAACTGCGATTTCATTGTAAATTATCTTTACATTTATTTACATTTATGTAGACTTTGCGAGTTTATCATCAACTAATTTTTTTTTAAATTCATGTCATTTCTAGCCATCTGCAATATAAATGTCAAGTTTCGCAATAGCTGTAATTCGCACAGAAATCTAGCTAGTGTGCAATAGGATTGGCTAGGGTACAAAAATGTATACAAACTTGACAACCGCACCACAGAATAAAAACAGTATTTCATTTTTCAGACCGAATGTCAAGCTATAGCATATAGCAAATAGCTAAT